AACCTTCATTGTCTCAGACTTGCCTTTAACGTGTACGACCCCATCCCTGGTGTTAAACAGTACAGCAGTAAGGGCGTGTACCCCATTACTGTTTAATTTTACCTTTGTGAAATACCTCGAGGAAGTTCTCTGCAGATTATTCCAGAATTTTCACCCAGCTTCCTAAAGCACTCAATTATTCTTTGTGTGTTTAACGCTGGCTGCGATTCTATAGAAGACAGTGTTTCTGCTTTCACAGTATGTGTATGAGCGTATTGTATGCAAACGCACGCGCGCGCGCGCACACACACACACACACTTCTATCTTTCTATCTATATACATATATATGTGTATATATATGTATATATATACATATATGTATATGTATACACACACACACACACATATATGTGTGTGTATGTATGTATTTATATGTGTGTGTGTGTGTGTATACATATTACACACACACACACACACACTCACATACACACACACATATATGTGTGTATGTGTGTGTGGTATATATATATATATATATATATACGTATGTATATATATATATATATATATATATATATATATATATATATATACATACATATGTATATGTATATATGTGTGTGTGTGTGTGCGTGTGTGTGTGTGTGTATGTGTGTGTGTGTGTGTGTATGTGTGTTTATATGTATATATATGTGCATATGTATGTATATACATAAATAAATAAATGAATAAATAAATATATACATACATACATACATACACACACATATATATATATATATATATATATATATATATATATATATATATATATATATTACATGGTTGTCCATCGATCATCAACGAATTGCATGACCTCTGCATCGCCCCACGTAGCTTTACCGCGACAGACTGACGAACCCTCTTATACGTGGACGAGACATGGGGGGAGGGGGGGTGCGGAATTCGGTCGACTCTGAATGGGTTTGAAAGGGTTGTAAAAGGAAGGTGGTCGGAGGAGCCGGGTTGTTGTTACTATGATTTACCTTTTTATTTGTAAGCTGTCCTGATTTGTAAACTTTGTATTGCGTTATAGGTTTATTTTAATGTAAGTTTTATTTCGAGTGTGCTGTGTAGATATATGATGAGGTGATTTTCGAGCATTTTTGTTATCAGGTGATTGGTGTAAATATATGTTAATTATGAAGTGGCTTTATACTCCCTACCTTGCATATTTACATTATATTACTCGAAAATCTACAACTCTATAAAAAAGGAAAGCTAAAAGATGAATAACAGAAACATATATATAACAGAGATGATTGTGATATAAAAAAATACAAGTTAAATATCTTGAAAAGTGATGATCCTTTAATAAATATGACGAGACGAAGTAGTAATTGTGAATTGATGATTGATAATGGTCACGACCGTAACAGGGCTAAGATATAACAAGCATAAATAAACATAATCAATAGTTAAGAAGTGATTACAGCAAAACTAACACACAAGAGCATTGTGCACCTATGAGTGGGCTGGTGACATAGCATTAAAAGAAACCAAAGGACATTTATAAACTGTCTTGACACCAAATCCTATCACTTTGATTGTGTTTTGTTATGCATCCTATTTTGGAACAATCGGTGTCATTGTTGATGAACTGAAAAACAAAAACAAAAACAAAAACAAAATATATATGTATATGTGTGTGTGTGTGTGTGTGTGTGTGTGTGTGTGTGTGTGTGTGTGTGTGTGTGTGTGTTTATGTGTGTGTGTGTGTGTGTGTGCGCGTGTGTGTGTTTGTGTGCACGCGCGCACACGTATGCCTATGTGTATGCGTTTTTGTGCGTAGGTCAGCCTATGTAAATAGTGGTATGCCAGCTGCTTATCCGCACCGAGAACCACGCTATTTGAGAGAGATCCCACCCTCGCTCGCCATCGCTTTCCTCCCCCCAACCTCCCTGCCATCAACGGCACATAATCCCCGCATGCGAATTAGAACAGGACGCCGCCGCTGACACCATGTTGTTTCAAAGCTAAAGATAATACCTGTGAAGACCGAAACGTCAGCTGCCGCACGTGGGTTATTTCTTGGCGGTGAATAATCACGCTCTCCGTCCTTTCCTGTCTCTCTCTGCTTACTCCGCGGCCGCTCTTCCAGCACTGCCCATCTGCTCCTGACAGGAAGTGCTATATATATGTAAAACTTGGATCTTGTGTGTGGGTTTTTTTTGTTTTTGTTTTTTTCGCTGTGTGTGTGTGTGTGTGTGTGTGTTTGTGTGTGCGTGTGTTTGTGTGTGTGTGTGTGTGCGTGTGTTTGTTCGTGTGTGCGTGTGAGTGTGTGTGTGTGTGTTTGTTCGCGCGCGCGCGCGTGTGTGTGTGTGTGTGTGTGTGTGTGTGTGTGTGTGTGTGTGTGTGTGTGTGTGTGTGTGTGTGTGTGTGCGTGCGTGCGTGTGCGTGCAGGCGTGTGTGTGTGCGCGCGGGTATGTATGTGTGTGTGTGTGTGTCTGACGCGCTACAAACACTGCTAAATCTTAAGCGTGTTTCATTACTCTTCATTTCTTGTACAAGGAAAAAATATCATTATTTGTATATTTTCAGTTACTCCAGATTTTATATTGAGAAAGTACCTTTTTATTGCTGCCATCATCGATGTTTAATCACATCTCGCGAAAATGAACTTCGTATTAGAAAGATAATAATAATAATAATAATGATAATAATAATAAAAATAATAATAATAATAATAACTAATAACAACAATAACAATGATATTATATTAATAATAATGATAGTGATAACTATGATCGTGATAATGACAATAACAAGGAACGAGAATAATAATAATGACAATAGTTATAGAAATAACAATATTAATGATAATTATATTAATTATACTAACAATATTAAAGACAATGATATTAGTTATATTAACAATCATAATGATAGTAATGATAATGATAATGATAATAACAAAACTAATGCTGATGATAATAACAATGATAATACTTGTGAAAGTAATAATAATAATAATAATAATGATAATAATAATAATGACAATAATAATAATAATAATAATAATAATAATATCGATAATAATAACATTACCAAACAAACCTCTGACAGATGCACAAAAAACACAAACCCGAAACAAGCAAACAAGAAGCACTCGCTACCAAAAAGAGACAAGTACCATGTAACGAGCTAATGAAAAGAGGCATAATTACCATCCGTTAGTGTCCAGTCTCTGTGCCGGAGTGAAAGGAAGACGGGCACGAAAAACACCTCATTTCCACATTAGATTTTGTCTTTAGGCTCGTCTCTCGGCAGGGGGGCAGTGCGGGCTCATTTGTTTACTGTAAGGTGTATCGCAGAATGGAGGGCGTTGTGCGTGGTGCCGTGTTTCTGTGTGTGTGCTGTTTGCTGTGTTTGTGTGCGTGGTGGGTGTTGTGTGTTGTGTGCGTGGTGGGTGTTCGGTATGGTGTGCTATGTATAAAGTGGTTAAAGGTTAATGGTTAGTAGAAATAAATGTGCTAGACATCAAAAGTGCATCATGTGTTATGAATTGTGTGACGTATGCTGTATGCTTGGTCGTACAGCCTGGTGGAGTTTCTGGTTCTTGACGGGTAATGTTGTAAATTAATGAAATGAAAATGATCCGCCTTAATTCAGTTAAAAGGAAATATTGAAATAATAAAACATACAATATTGTTGTGAATCAGTTACAGCGCAAAATACCAAAGTAATGTGGTATGTCCTCCCCATATGAATATCATTTTCCATCATTAGGCCTGGTACTTTTATTCCGTTCATTCAGTACGATATAGATAAAATGGTATCTATAAAGTATTACCTCTTTTCTCTTGTGTTTGTACAACTTTTAGCTTATGTTACAAAGAACCTCGAGTTATCCAATTATAATCAATACTTTTACTATAAGAACATCGTGCTCTGTAAAACAAGACACTAAATTATCGAGAGAAAATGATGATAATTGGCCATGACAAATGGGGCTTCCCCTTCTCTCGCCATAGACTCGAGAGCGTAATTGGTTCTTCAATAGTGAAAGGCCTGTGTAATGTCTCCGAAGCGGCACCTGTTCGGGTCACTCGCGGGTATGGCTCTTTCGCTACAAAAACCGCAAGTGACAGATGTACCTTTGCTTGACACTTTCTTACGCATGAGTTTACATACGTGTTGACATTTATACAAGTTTCAGTATACACACATGTATGTGCGTGTCAAATATACAGATGAGAATGAGGGCAAAAATATTGAATTCACTTCCGAACTTAATCAATTTTTCATACAGCCATATTCTAGTGCCACATAAATGGACGTTTCTGAAATTTCTTCGCATCTCTATCCTAAAATATGACGTAAGACGTTAGTGACCATATAAGGTAACATTCCCTTTCACAGCAAGGTATCTGAGTGACGGGACTTACTATGTCTTTGTGTTTCCTCTTAAACACTTATATAAGCTGTTATTTGCATTCATATATATGTATTCATTATTTATCTCTTTAACTCTTTGTCTCTCTAAGCTGTACGACTTTCAACACCCAACTGCCAGCCCAGTAAAAAGACCGCCGTATCTATTATGAAAAAGCAATTACCTATCTTTTTCAACTATCTAAACCTTAACCGTAAACAAAACTTCATACTTGAAACCCATACTTGATTACTACGCGATTCCACATCCAGTCTTGGCGAAATGGTCCCCCTTGTTTCGAGACCTTGAAACGCAACCCGTGGATCTTCGTGGAAGGAAGGAAGGCAACGCATGGCACTTCTCATCTCAGTCACCTGTTCGACGCCGGTGAGTGAGCATGTACAACCCGCTCTGCCGGTGGAACCCTCCGCGCGTCCGGTGTGCTCTCGGGTCATTACGTCATCGTACTCTTTGGTGGTCGGAGGAAATCTGAGATATTGGAAAAAACGAAACATTTTTTGTACATTCGACGAAAGGGAATTTGGTGTATAAGGTAGTGAATATCCGTCGGTGTCAGTATAAGGGTTTTAAACTTACCTGTTCGCA